TGACAAGTGGACGTCGGATGATGATGCACGAAAGAAAGTAGGGCCAACTCTGTCTCTTGAGTGTCCTCGTCCTGATCAAGTCATTTCTTCAATCAAATTTGCAAGCTTTGGCACTCCTCATGGTGCATGTGGAAGCTTTAGCCACGGTCGATGCACGAGCAGCAATGCTCTTTCCCATGTAAAGAAGGTCAGATCCAGATTATTTTACAAAATAAACTGGTTGACCCCCCACCCCTTCTTCTTTTCCTCCAAGTAAAATATTTCTCTGATTAAATTTTAATTGCAACATCTTTACAGGCTTGCATTGGATCAAAACGCTGTAGTCTTGGAGTTTCAATAGATGTATTTGGTGACCCATGTATAGGAGTGACAAAAAGTTTAGCTGTAGAAGCTTCCTGTTCGTGATGCATAGTTGGACCAGGCGAAAGCCTCTTACTAAAGTAAGTGTAGAAGTGGTAGAAGGTCAGATAAACTACAATAAATTTCAACTTCATAAAGAGAAAAAGAGCACTTTGTTTTCTCTTGCCGATTTGATGATATTATGAAAAGAAGAAGAAAAAAAAGATTTGCCTCAATAACTTTTACAAGTCTAAAGATATTGCCTCATTGATGTTTCTATCAAGCAGAATATAAACCACATTCAATATCATTGTAAACTCAGAAAATTTCTGTGTGATTTCCACATCCCTTATTCACATATTCTTAGTAACATATCCAAATACAATGAGATTTATAGGAATAATTTAGTTAACATACAATAAAAAAACTATCGACTGAACGAATTCCAGTACTACATTCATTCGTTAATATCTTCATCAAGATCATCATCATATTGAGGCAACACCGGCGGATCTTTGGAACCTGCATTTCTTGCAGAGAGCTGAATGCAGTGCCGGTGTCTGATATTTGTCTTCCCCACCCATGATTGGCATTGGTACGCCTCGCTTGACTGGACTTACATAACCTGGCTGGTAAGTCTTGCCAAGAATTCCTTCAACATCTTTGGATAGATTGAAAAACTTAAATTGTGTCTCTAGGTGAGCAAAAGCATCATCTGCTGGTATTTGATAGTTGTGAACCTTATTTTCATTCTCTCCTATTGGTACTACCTTCACATCCAATTGCAACAGTCCGGAAACTGTGACCCTCACACTGTTAACATCATCTGTCCTTTCAACTACCACTGCTCTCTCAGCAGTTTTAACACTCCATTCAGCATCTCCATCTGTCGGGACATTAACTGTC